TCCGCAGGCATATCCGCACGGTTATTAATGAGTTTCCTCTCCATTTCCTGTTCATCATTATCATCATCATTTCATTTGTTTGCTTCCTGAAGCAAAGTTGGTCTGCCACGCTTTCAGCTGACGATGCACGAGTGCCTGCCTAAGCAGAGCAACTGCAACGTCCTTTATTTCTTGCTAAATAAAATATTTTGACATGTTTTTAATAATTGCAGCCTTGATCAGCCTGAACCTTGTTCCCCAAAGCGAAATATATGCGGTCGGCCAGAAGGTTGGTTGCTCCTACAGGTCACAACTTATTGACTCGGATGACGTGAGCTATGACATTACTGACGGGGTTGAAGCTTGTGTACATCTGGTGTACAAGAACGACAGGCCAAAGGAAGTGAAATGCGGGAAGCTGACGACTATTATACCAGAAGCTCATTTCAGCCTTCGTGACTACCAGCTTGTCTGCACCAAGCACCACCTCGAAAGCACACCAGTGCCTCTTAAGGTCCTCTGTAAGTTTACCCAACCTGTCAAGTGCGCTTTTCCGCCTCCGGAGAAGTCATAACTTATACAAATGTGTTACTCAAATAGAAAAAATACTAATTGTTTTTTAAGGAAAATAAAAAGCTCTTACTAGCACTCCAGTTCCTGAGACGTAAAAAATAGCTATAAATCAGAACCATAGATTTAAGCCTTTCCGTAAGTTACATGGATATTTTTACTATTTCCTTTATACCAAAATAACTTTTCCTGACTCATAATATTTCAAAAAGGTTACTGTTATCTAATTACAATTATGTACAAAGTGTCCTTTTAATTCCTGTAAATTTTCGACGGTATTTGGTATTTTCAGGCCTTAATTCATAAAGGTGGATAGTTTTCGATGATAAGTTCAAAAATTTTAAAATAATAATTCTATTAAAAGCCCTTACCGAGTTTTTGGGTACTAGTTCTTATGAAAATGACCACGTAGGCCATATCTAGAAATTCTTACAAACGCCGAAACATATTGTCTAGCAAAAACAACGGCCGCAACTGAAGCCTGATATCGCTATTTCTAAGATAAATAATAAAAACTTTGTATGATAGGTCAACTCTTCAAAAAACACCTAAATTAGATATAAAGTGACGAATATCGGTGAATTTTGCCTTTTTACAAGGTAATGTCAAAATGAAAATGGTGCATTTTAACAACTTTTTTTAATTTACCGGAACATGCCTAAAAAAATTTGGCTGGAAATGAAAGAACTCACTTTCCTTTTTATACTGGAGTACATCCCGCCTTAGTAGATGACTTCCACGTTCTTTTATAGGCTAGTTTATGCAAGAAAAAGTGGCCAAATATAGACTAACATTTTCATATAATTCTTATTCTTGTTCTGTCTGCCTCGTTTCTTAACTACACACAAGCGGAACTAATAGTTCACAAATTAGTAAGTTTGTACATGAATTAGATTTAGTAAGATTTGATTTGACCTTCGTCCTCGTCCTAATATATAGGCAGTTTTGATTACTTTCTAAATAGTCGATGTGGTAAAACAAAAATGCGGTTTAACTTTTTGTTATTGCACTTTGTGGCGTAAGCTTCATACCGTTTTTAACCTTAGCTCCATTTGCATTTGAGCAACTTCGGACTAAATTTTCTGATTCTAGCAGGGATATGTTTTAAAATTTTCCTACTTATTTTGACTCTGCTGGTTGTGCGCATGTTTGTGTTGTTCAATCTATTTGGTAGTCAGGGTTATGAATGAATGAGAACGTTCGAGTTCCAGGTATTTGCATGCTTGAGGAAGAA